AGAGTGTTCTAAAATGTCGAAGTATTGCATTAAAATCGCATGTCCGTACGTATTGTAACGTCCAGCGACGCTACGATCGCACGGAGTGGCACCTGATAAAACTGTCGCATCTTTGCTATCAAAATGATGTACATACGTACCATATCGAGAGGCATCAGGTTTTCCGTTCGACTGCACTGGATGCGCGTCTAGAGCTCCAGGATCGAGGAACTTTCAGGACTAAGGATCTCCAAGTGCCAGAATCCGTTGCTTCGCCGTGCAAGTACGCGGACAGGATTTCGGTTCACTCCGGGCGCCCAAAGAGTCAACCGATATCGCGACGCCGCGGTCCAGCGGCGATCGTGCACGACGTTGAATGCATTGTGGCGAACATCCGACACCTCGCGGGACACTAGCGACAAGATCTCGCGCAAACAAACGATCGCGTCGGAAACGGACGTCCATTTCGTCCATCGCGAAACGACTCCGAACCGAACACGTCACGTTCCGTCTCCCGGCCGAAGTGACTGACCGCCATTTGAAATTTATCGATTCTCGATGTATCGAGGCTCCCAGAGAGGGCGTTAGTGCACGGCGATACCAGCACTTCTCTCTGGCGATATACTAACTATTATAACCCTGCGAATTTTTCGAGCGAATTTTTGTTGACGTCTTGAATATATTATTTCGCCACTCGTCAGTGCCAAGACGCGTGTTTATCTTAATCTCTCGTATGCATGACATTTCGTCGCTCATTGACGCTGTCATCACACGTAAGCTTGCTAGTTCTCTCGTTTTCCGTTGTCTATCTCTGTTAAGATAGGTTAGGATAAGCTCCACATATGTCATATATGGTTCAGAAATACGTATTCTTATTTCACATTTGTTTCTTCTGTTTATTTCCTCTTTAATTTTATGTCGGTTACCGTAGGTAATATAACGAATAAAATAAGTCATCTCTCGTTTACAGAAAATGCTGGCTTTGGAGCGCATACCTGATCAAACTGGATACTTGGTATTAACCGAGGACGGTGCTGTATTAACGGTAAGAAGCAGCTTTCTGACGATGCTCTTTTCTTTGTAACAGCAGATAGAATCTTTTGTGTTCGTATTGCAGTCTGGAGGAGATTTGGAAAATGATGAGAGAGTGGCAAATATCATCACTAGTTTGGTCACGCTGACGAGTAAAGTTGATTCCAAAGCGTTTCCCTCGCACGATCCTTTTGAAAAGATATCGATCAAATATAAGGATCATTGCTACGTCGTATGTCTCTCCAATAAGAAGATTTACGTGGTGAAGAGGAAGCTGCCATCTCCGACTACGGCAATAGTCGAGCAGCAGCCTACCGTCGATGTTTAAATACGAATAAACGTAATATTCATAAAACAATCTTTGTAAACTTTGATATCTGACACAAGTTCAATTACTTCGATCACTGTGAGAGATCTATTCACTGTTATGTATCTATAAGAATAATGTATTCTAAGAATAAAGTTAGTGCAATGTAGTTTTAGGAAAAGCCTTTTTTATATGATAGCTTCTTTTGATCTTTCTAGTAAAATGGTCTTCCACAATATGTAACCTGAGAATCTATAGCTATGATTAATCTCGAAATATATTTTTTATTAAAATATTTTTGTAATCGTGCTACATCTCGCTCCTAATATTAGTGCATCATGTGCAAATCGAAGAATTATTTTCATAGTATTTTATTTACAAATATATTATATCGTTTCTCGAAATAGATATATAAAGTATTAAGTATCACTATCGGTACTGGAACTGTCATAATTGACCAGAGACGTGCTCGAGTTACTGGGTTTGGAGGTGGTAGCTACTTCCTGTACTTTTGGCGATTCCTGAGTTTGTAGTTTCAGTCGGTCATTCGAAGAGGATATTTTTTTTCTATTTTTAGACCGCACAATCGAAATTAGCCGTTTCAATTCCGTGCTTCCTTTTTTCTTTGCATCTGAAAAGAAAGCATTCGTGAAAGTATAAGTATAATAAGAAATGTGCATTTTAATTCGCTTAAATGCTGAATAAACACCTTTCTTGTGAGTGAGTAATTTGGCCAGTTTGATGTCATCCTCATGTTCGTTCACCAAGTCAATATCGAGTCCAGTCTTTTTTAGTAATGCATGATCTCCAGCTTGTTTCTTCTTGAGCTCATTTTTCCTTCCCTGCAATATGAAATGCATGAGCCAGTCAGTAAAAATTCAAATTTATTATTAACAGAATTAAATATATTTCGCAAAGACAAATAAATTATAAAAATGATGGCCATACCCGAAATAACGCTCTCACTGCACAGTTTGAGCCGTAATCGTCTTTCCAGATATTCTCGTTCAAGGCTATTGCACCTTCCAGTGCTGAATCTCGAGATTTCGCTACTTTCTTATCTTCCACACCATGCTCTAACTTGTACATCGCATCGTCATATAATCGACATGACACTTCCTTCGTTTCTGGTACTACTTGTTCATTCTGTGTAGGATCCCATCGATTTTCTTGACGTCTCGCACCACTCACTATGACATAATCCAGATTCTAAAAGGAAAACAGGAAATAATTAACAAATATTGCAAACACAGCCATTTATATGCTTTTTCCATCATAACTTACAGCAGGATCAGTTTTTATTTCAAAGTGATTGTCACAGAGATGACACTTCATGCGAAATTGATAGAGTGGGGTGCTATAGTACATCCCGATCTTCTTCTTCTCCGCGTTATATCTCACACCCATGCCAATATGATTCCCACATCCGTCGCACCATATATTGTAGGGCATCTCGAATCGTATGATCAAGATGCCCATGTGGAGCTTGCGGGCTCGTTCACGCAGTGCGTGAGTGCCCAGGAACTTGTTGAGACCACCTGCACGGGGATCATAATCCGGTGGATAGTACAAATTCGTTCCCTTTCGTTCTCCCATTGTGCTGTAATTTATTTATACATAAGATCGATTAGGAACAGGAACATTTAGCTAACGTTGATTATAAATAATTACGGATATATTATGACAAATGTCAAATTTGTTTTCACTGTAGTTTGAACGTATCTATTTGTGCACTGTAACAATTATTATTACAATAAAGCTATCATTGTACCTTAATTCTTTTTCAAAACTTGAAAGGAAAAAATAAAGTAAGTTTTTCTTGAGATGATCTCTCTGGCGAACTGTATAGACTCGCCTGACACTCTCTGACGTTGACGTTTTTTTTATAGGTTAGAAGTACACAAAATATAGCACAATAGCACACAGTAGCGCGATCTGGAACATTTCCTTAAACTACAACGTGTATTATTCTATGATAAAAGCAAAAAATAAGAAACTATGGAATATCTTTATTTTTCGTTTAAAAATTTGTATTTTTGAAAAATTAATATTAAGTTGTGAACATAAAATGTAAATAAGTAAATCGCAGCTGTATCAAATATACCCGATATGTTAATCAGTATATTATACCTGAAAAGCATAATATATTGATTATATATTAAAAATGTAATTTATATAATCGGATATCTTCTAACGCAAACATTTTACACTATATAAAATTCAGATAGACGTTTAATATAAAAGAGGTTTTACATTTATTTATTTCAAGAAATTAACACGTACATAAGATATTAACAATAATAAGACCTTTTTTTTTCATGGCTGTAGCCGCGATTGCCAGATATCGAGGCACGATCAAATACGAAGGTAAATATACGACGTTAATAGACACTGCGATTGTTAATTAAACACGTCGCGGCGTCACTCGATTTAGCGTATATTCGTATCGTTAATGAAATTCTTTATCCGTGTTCCGAAAACGATGTCCAATCAACTTTGTTCCGAATTTCGAAGTCGCGCGACACAACGCGAGACGCGGAGTCATTGTCGGTAAAAGCGAGATTGATTGTCCGAAAGAATGTAATCAATGGCCGCATTCAAGAAACACAACTGTTGAGTGAGCGGTCAGTGATTCTTTAATGTGATTGGTTCTTACCTTTGGTTCTACTCTGGATCTAAGTGTAAGAACCAATCATAATGAGCGCTCATTCAACAGTTGTGTTTCCTGAACGCGGCCAATGGCTGCGGTCCAATTGACGCTACAAATGCTTTGAAGCGTTCTTTCTCTCCTTTTTTCTTTATTGAAAGAAAGGAGAAGAGGAATGCTTCGAAGCATTTGTAGCATCAAGTGGACCGCAGACAATACTATCGAATATATTATCGAATGCGACGTACCTCGGTATATCCATATAAATTTCGCGAAGCACATGTATTAAAATTCGATACATCAGTTTTTCGTAATCTAAACCGCCGCGCCGTGACCCGGCGGGCGGCGATTCATTCGTGTAGCCCCGGACACACACTTTTTCGTAACAGTAACAGTAAAGTTTCGACCACGCGCGTTGTTCGATTCGGAAACGTATGGCCGTACGTTTCCGATTCAAGCAACGTCCGAACGCGCGTGGTCGAAACTTTACTGTTAACTGTTACGAAAAAGTGTGTGTCCGGGCCCTTATTTCGCGATGCGGTCTGAGCGCGCCGCAGTAAACACGAGTAGTGGGGGTAGAGGAGCCGGTATCGAGGCGTGCTGACGTCACGCATACCGAGCGCGCACCGTGCCTAGTCACCTGTAGCCCCCACTTCGTCCCTACCATTAGTGATGACGAGAAGCCGCGACCCGCGCTACATTATTCACATCATATCAATCGTAATTTTTCCGTCGCCGTGTAACTACGTGTAAGTACGCGTCGCGTCGCGAGATTAATGCCGGGAGTGTCATGCAAAGTGTCGAAAATATCGCGCGATCATAAGTGACGCGATCTTATCGTCGATTTACGTGAACGTCGTGAGTGAGTACGCCAATCGACCAACGGACCAACGCTGCAACGGAGAAAGACCTGGAGAATCGTGGAGAGGAGGAGGAGGCCTGGGAAGGCATCGGGCGACGGCGGAGCGACCGTGGGGTGAGTAGTTAAATTGTTATTCGTCTATTACTTTGCTGTCCTGTCAGTCCTGTCAGTCCTGTCAGTCCTGTCAGTCTTGTAACGGAATATCCGCCACTTTCTCAAGTGCGCAACTTTTGATTCGTCCGTTACATGATATTCGTTAATTAGATAATATTATCTTGGACACCAATTTTAATGTAAAAATATTTTTATGTTACAGATCAACGCAGAGTTACAACTTACAACTCCGCTGTTGCGCATCGGCCGGTGAGTTATTTTTTAGTTTAATGTTTTATTACGCAAATCAGTTTTTATTCCGGTTCCGGCTTATTAAAATTTTTTAATTTAAAATTTGTATTAAATTAAATTATTTACATATTGGAGGGTGGGAGGGAGGGAGGGAGGGGGAGAGAGAGAGAGAGAGAGAGAGAGAGTCGTGTTGTAATACGTAATTATGATAATAATTGTATCAATAATTGTGTGCAAAGCATTAATGGACTTTAATTTAAAATTATAGGTCTATTTTTCACATATATTTTGTATTTTGACAATTAGTAGTCCTGAGTAATGAGGAGGGGAGGGAAGTGGCTGACCACTTTTATTGCAAACAAAGCCATTTACATGCTTTTTCAATCATAACTTACAGCAGGATCAGTTTTTATTTCAAAGTGATTGTCAGAGAGATGAGACTTCATGCGAAATTGATACAGTGGGGTGCTATAGTATGTACATACATCCCGATCTTCTTTTTCTCCGCGTTATATCTATTTGTTTTCACTGTAGTTTGAACGTATCTATTTGTGCACTGTAACAATTAATTATTATTACAATAAAGCTATCATTGTGCCTTAATTCTGTTTCAAAACTTGAAATGAAAAATAAAGTAACTTTCTTGAGATGATCTCTCTGGCGAACTGTATAGACTCGTCTGACACCCTGACGTTGACGTTTTTTTTATAGATTAGAAGTTAGAACACAATATAGCACAATAGCACACAGTTGCGCGATCTGGAACATTTCCTTAAACTACAGCGTGTATTATTCCATGATAAAAGCAAAAAATAAGAAACTTTGGAATATCTTTATTTTTCGTTTAAAAGTTTGTAATTTTGAAAAATTAATATTAAGTTGTGAACATAAAATGTAAATAAGTAAATCGCGACTGTATCAAATATACCCGATATGTTAATCAGTATATTATACCTGAAAAGCATAATATATTGATTATTTATTAAAAATGTAATTTATAATCGGATCTTTTAGCGCAAACATCTTACACTATATAAAATTCAGAGTATCATAGACGTTTAATATAAAAGAGGTTTTACATTTATTTATTTCAAGAAATTAACATGTACATAAGATATTAACAATAAGACCATTTTTTTCATGGCTGTAAGTCTCTTATATGGGCTCCATTATTCTGGTGTCCTTTTGGGACTTACGTATTTCCAAATCCGCCACGATTGCAAATGGCGAACGGATGGAACTTAGAAAGTCTTTATCACAAATTTAAATAAGATTAATCGCAGTGGTTGTTATATTAATATTAGAGAGCTATTTCGTTAATATCTAAGTTCAGGTTTTCTGGTTTGCCCACAGAAACCGCGTAAATCGTTTCTGTCGACAGACCGAGTTATATACGGAGGGTCTCAAAAGATATAACTTCTAATCTTCGCTTCGTTCAATAGAAATCCTTCGAGACACGCAGTATAACCGTACGACACACTTCGGTGTCGTGAACTCGGTGCGTTTCAATGGTACGCGTATCCTCTAGCGGATGTGAGTGTTCCTTTGTATTGGCTCGGAAATGTATTCCGCAGATCCGCTTTCGCCGATTCCTTTCCCTCGCCTCCCGTATATATGAGCGCCGGTGACGAAAGTTCTTATCGTCCATAAGGATAAGGATATGACCATTTGTACCTGTATCTGGCCGGACGTGGATAATACGCGAACGCGTAGACCACTGCAACAGAGAGCACGGTTGCATGCAATAAAATATAAAATATACAATGACACACTTTTTCTTTTATTAACACACGTGATAGATATATTAATCTATCGTGAGATTTTCACGGGAATATAAACCAATTATTCTTTTCAACCTATCAAAAATAAATTATTTTATTAGAATGAAGAAGTTAAGTTAGGTCTTTAAGTATAGCTAAGCCTGCAAATGTCGCTTCAAAGTAACTTTTGTTTTTTGATTGCGAATAATTGCGATGTGATTTCGGAGAAAGCCTGTGACAATATTTACCCTATTTATTCTGTTTGCCTATCTTTCCGTGAAATTATATGTTTCATATACCATATTATGTATAATTGTCAGGAAAGTAGATATTTAATTTTTTTTACACATTCGGGATTGAAATACATTGGTTTATGCACTTTCCATTCTAGTATTTGGGAGATAGACGTATTCTTTTGAAAAATATTCGTTGTATTCGACAAGAAACTTTTAGAAAGTATTCACACGCCTATTATATTCATCGCCGACGTCGTTACTTGCCTCGACCTTATAGCCGATGGAGCCTCTGCAACGACGCGTATCGCGCGAGTCGTTTGGCAAACGCCCGCCTCTGGACGTTCCTCTTACGGAAATGTTCCAACGTGCCGAGAGCCGAGGTCGGTACCAATGATCCTTGGCTCTGCCAATAGTAAGTCGACGGCATCGGGTTCAAAAGCGGTACTTTCAGCGGGCCGCCCAAGCTGCCGTGAAGGTGGTCCGTGAATTGATGTTGCCCGCGAAAGTTCAAGTGTGGCTGCAACTTGGGCAGATTGAAGGCATCTGAATCGCCCAGGAGGGATATTTTCAAGGGCGCGATTTGCGGTTCGGTATCCACGGACAGACTCGCGTATACCGACGTACCGCCGTCGTCGTCGTGCGGCAGCTTGGGCGGATCCAGCAGAGAACTATGCGGATTTGGATACTGAATCTGCTGCAGCGGCGGGTACTCCACGTTCGGCTGGATCGACAGGGTTTGGTCCAGGCCTATATTTGAGAAGTGATGATGCGACGTGGTCTGCGGTAGTTCGGGCCGTTGGTAAGCGCCGTCTTGAGCGGCAGGATAATTCTGCTCGTAATTATGCGTCGGATTGTTGTGGTTCGCGGGATAGTGACCAGGTATATTATAAGTCGGATGCTGGGCGGGAGGGTGAGAGCCCACGTGGTTGTGGTTGTTATTGAGGCTGTCCTGGCCAGCCACGGTTTGATCCTTCGAGCTGATGCTACCTTTTGGCACGCTATTTAACAGATTCTTGATGACGGAGCTCTTAGTGGGTTCAATGAAACTCTCCGCCGGTCCGTCCTGCACTGCCGCGTTCGTATGTTGATCGTTGTGCTTGTCCAGGTCAGATTTCGTCACGATCAGCAGGCCGCCCTGACCATTGTCTGTGAACGTGACGTCTGTCAGTCTCGTCGACAAATTTATTCGGTGCTTTAAAGTATTAGGTACAAGTTCGTTAGTCGAGTAGGAGCATAAAAGCAGGTACTGTCGAGATCGATTAGCACGTTGTTGCGTATGTGCTGAGTGTACTGTAACGTGTCCGTTGAGCAAGTGCGAAGTGTGAACAAGATGACAAGTCCTGGTTCTAGTTTCGCACGTTCAATACACGGATGGATACACTTACACATATATTTGCAGGGGACTATCACAGGGTTTAATTGTCACAATTCACAATACGGTGTAGTGCGTTTGTGTTGCGCTAAATTCTAGACAAGTGAATTTTGGATGTGGTATAGTGACAACGTGGAACAATCTCTTTATTTTTTGATTACAGAGTATCCCAAATATTCGATATAATCACCGTATACCGTTTTACCAAGTAATACGCTGATGATTTCGATATATTTTTCAACGATATTTTACGCAGGCACATATACGTATAAAATTAACAGAAATTGAAGAAGTATGTCAGGAAACAGGCTTTACCGTAGCCTCCTGCCTCTCGCCAACTTTCGGGGAAAGTGAAAGGTCGCATGCTGATACATTCATGGGAAAACATTGGTGGATCGTGAAACGAGTTCTTCCGGGAGAAGAACGAAGAACATTCACATTCACTGCGTCATTTAACGATGATGACGTGCGATACGAAAAGGGAAATTCGGGCGTCATTAAGCGAATCACATTACATGTTTCAAGAAAAAATCGAAAGCGTCGGTATTCGATAAAAGATCAAAGATATAACTGTTGTCAGATTACATCGACATTGGACAGTAAAATTTATTCGTGAAAGCGATATTCGTGCGTCATTCTTTTAATGAATTAAGAAATATAATATACCTTCCGTAGTTTAATCGTTTCGAAAATTTGAAGAGAAACTAAATACTTTTTAAAATAATTTTCCTTTTGCTCCATATCGAAGCTGTTCTCTTTCCTCAAATAATTGCTTAATTAATGCAATGTCGGAAATATTAGATGAAAGCGGTTATACTTATCAAGTCTTCATCAACGCGTAATAATTACTGTGAGTTAATTGCTGGTATCTTAGAAAAGCACGAAGATACAGGAACGGAATATAATCCAAGGTACTTTGCAACGTTATAATTACATATATAAATGTGAAACCTACCGTCTGATGCCGGCAATCCGTAGGTTCCGTGTGCAGAAAAGTCACCGGGCACTTCGGAAAAATCACTTGGCGGTGCCCCTGAATAACTATGTTCATGTCCTGTAATTTCGAAAGAAAGCAATTGATAAAACCCTGAGAAGAAATAGAGATCTTATTTCTAATGAGATTAATCTAATAATTATACATCAACAGTAATACAATGTAATGTGTGCGCGCTAAAAAACTTCATCGTACACAATGCCGATCTATTTCGAACCTTTTTTATCGATTATAAAATTATAATATTATAACATTAGATTGTTATCGCTTCTTGAACGGATTTGAGAAAAGCGAATAATACTCGGTTAGGCCTCGGATGCGTGATTACCGTGAATATCCGGCTTCACGGATAATCAGTCGGTTCGTAAATACTAAAATGACTTTCTATAGGCTGCTATTTCTCGATATAAAATTACATCTTTGATCGATTTCCACGTCTAATCGGTTGAATATGGCGTACACATAGGTGAGCGTACAATAGAAAGTAAATGCGTCAAGTTTTTAGCATGTGTAACATTTGTAATTTGCGTGTGTATGCAACTTAGTTTTTTAATAGCTTTCTAATCGATCATATCGTAATAATAGCATCGGAAAATTCGACAAATTCTGCTCGGTGAAGATTATATTTTACCTATATGTTGAACCGGTGGATGACCATAGTAAGGTTCTGGATAAGGTTTCGATTGCGTGCTGGCCACCAGGTGTTTACCGAAGGACGTGATAGCATCCCCTGCTTTAGCGACAACTTTGCCTTTGCCCGATAGTAGGTAGCCACCTCCTTTTACTAGTTGTCCTTTGAGAGCCAACACACCGCCACTTATTGCCTTGAGAGCTTGGAACAACGTGCTAAAAATCGCCTTTTTGAAGTCCCATGTGCTGAGTGGCTTCTCCTCGTACTGAAGAAATAACGAGATTAATGTTAAATTATATTACAAAATTAGATTGTAATTTATTGCGTAACAAAATAACTTAACTTTGAAATAGCGGAAATGATATATCTTTTTCACTTCTTCCTACACCGACATTTTTCCACTTATTTTCTAATTAACGTCGTATTAAATTGCTCGTTACTCAGCATAACAGCTTGTTTAACGCGAGATGCCGCGATTTTCATCTTGCAGAGTCATTTACTTTAATTGCTGCGCGGAATATATCGCGATAAAGAAAAAAATCTTAACGATGATCATAAAGCAATTAAGAGCGTAGATAATGAAAAGGTAAACGGTAGACGGAACCAGTTAGAATTTCGCTCCTTTGCGGCAATGTGGATGACCTACATCATGTTTCCAGCATAAACAACTTTTTCTTTTTGCAACTGCAGAGAATATTAATTAATCAGTTTGTCTCTTTCTTCTAAATTTAACATAAAAATCTATATTTCTCTATGTTACTATTTTACTATTTTTGATAACGTTTCTGTTCGCATTAAAATTTAAATAAACTTCATTCAAATAAAAGAGAACGCAAGGTACGCGACATCCGCCTTATATGTGAATAAAAGTATCGATTACCGAATAAGCATGATGTTCCACCGTAGGTGCACCGTATACCGGTTTGTACGCCGATTCGCTGCTACCCGCTGATGCTTTCGCCGCGGATCCACTTGATGCACTCGCGACTCCAGATAACACTCCACCTGCTATGCTGGTTAAAAGACCGGCGGATCCGAGATCGAAACCTCTCTTTATCCTGTCCTGCATCAGCGCGGCGTATCTCGGATCGGCAATAACGTCGATTATCAGTTTATCGTCGTCAGTCCGCTTTGTCGCGTCCGCTTCCGTTTGTTCAGGCAGAGCCTCAGACATCTCCCAAGACACATTCTGATCTGCATCGCTTTTCGTCCCATCTAACTGATTATGATCCACGGAAGACTTCCATGTCTCCAACAAACTTAAGAATTCGGATTCTCGATCTTCCGCGGTTCTTCGATACGGTGCTAATCGCTCTAGCTGTTCCGCGGCACTCTTCAGCAACGTCTCCTGATCGCTCTCCGTAATTTCTGATCGAGCCACGATTATCGAGCACCACGTTACCATCAAGAATTCTGATAGCTGAAACGCACGATAAAATGATAAATGCAGAGAATTACAATCGATCCGTAAATTCTTTGGGTATCGAGATTTTTCGTTATATTAAATACAAGAAAAAATTGTTAAACAAATTCATTCTTTTCTACAAGCTTTTTTGTTATTAAGATAAGAAGGGCCAATAACCGAACATTATTTTGTTATTATTAATTCTGATAGAGTATGACGATATCAGACTAACGATCGAATTCCGCTGAGTTCATAAACGATATAATATTGTGGTTTGGGGAAGTCTGTCTGATTCGTTAAGCGTCGTTAACTTTTTACCACGGTGCATTTTGAGGGTCGAGTGTTGATTTCCGAATTGCTCGAGCGTAGAGCGCATCGACGCGAGCGTAGCAAGTAGAGCGATGTTGGGTGAAAGTCACGCGACTACCGGCAATTCGAAGTGCGCTTCACCACGCGGCTCGCCATACATGACTTGAGGCAACAACAGCCTATCTCGCGAATACCGATGATTTCACGCAGATACCGCAAGACAACTCAAATTAAACTATTGCTAATTAGCGATAAGATTAAAGTTGCGCAATCTGTCTCTCTTGACGGAACAATGTTGTGTCTTCCGGGTTTTAGCATCGCGTTTCTCTCGTGAATGAGGTCGTTAATCTATTAGAGCAAAGGTAACAAAAACGAGAACAATTCCGAATTATAAGGCAGACAAACATAATAGAATTGACGAAATTGAATAATCTGCGATTTCGTCGCGGAGAATCGTTTCACTTGAACGAGCGAGAGTGATCATCGTAACCTTGATCTTGCATGTGTAGAATCATCGCTGACCTAGTTCTCCTACGATCGTTTGCTGCGCGAATTTCTTGGCGATTTCTAAAAAAACGGTATAGCAAATGGTCGCTAATAAAAATTTCTGACTTCCGTAGGGCAAAATTGAGCCTTTTGAATGACAGCTGTTTTCATAAAATAGAAAGATGAAATAAGACAAATTTTCGGTGCAAAGTTTTTGTAGTCACGTGTGAATTTTTTGCCACTCGACTCGCTTGGATTATATCATTCATTTGTCAACTTTTTTACCTTCCGTCCTGTGTCGGATATGCATAACAACTGGAAAGTGATCTAATTAGAAAATAAATCACAGAAGAAGATATGAAAGCAGCCATAAGTGCGAAAACTAAACTTTCCAGTACTTTCGTAATGTATTTATAAATTTCTAAGGCATTTCCGAAGTGGATAAAAAAATTTTCGTGGTAAATTTTAATCTTTCTCTTCGCAAATAAAGGCTTGGAGCTAGAAAGATTAAGCACACATGTTGAGATGTTGAGATTTGTTTAACGAACAGTCAGAGAGAAATCAGATAGATGGAATACAAGCAATAGACATATATATGCAATGTGCTTAGGATCAACATTGCGAATTATATATAATAAACAAAATAACTTGCGTAATATATTGCGTAGAGTTTGCCATTTTGTAGAAAGTAACAAAAAAGTGGATTTCAATAAACATCACGTTAACGCTGCAGTAATTATTTCTTCACGGTTTGCAACTTTCGTAGCCGAAGGCTATAGAACTATTCCGCATAAATTTCTTCATTGTTACAAGTGTGAAACTCGCGAGTACACTGGAAGAAAGGTTACGGTCAGACTTTATAGAACTTTCACGTGGATGAGAAGCAAGGCGCCTTGCTGGTAATTGGCGTGAAATTCGCTGATAACAAACAATTAATGGTCAGAGAAGAAGAAAAAGAAGAAAAGGCGCAAGATCTCATTAATAATTCAAAGATTATTGGCACTTTTCAGTTGCTTGCTGTAAGATTTGCAGTCTTTGCTATAACGAAAAAAGTAAATCGCGAAAGATTAGCAAACAACTATCATCGCGTGAATTAATATAATATTAAAAGTTGCAAATGCCGAAGCTCCTTTCAATTGACGCTTAAGTATTAAAGCACTTCACACGTGTTCACACAAAGATAGATGAACAGAACGATGCATGAGAACTGTGAAGCGCGTACCTTCATACTTGACTTTCACAGTATAACGGTGAAATGATCACAGCACTCTCACTAAACCCACTAACCATCGCTATGAAATATATCCTCTCTTTATACTGACTCCCACTTTGCCGATGATCAAGAAAGTGGCATCAGTGGCATTCACCTTGCCGGGTTGCGTCTGCCAAAATTCGTGCGGTTACGTTGCAACGCGTGAGATTGCTTTACGAATGACAATTAAGCAGAATTTTATTTCACTTCCTATGTATAATCGACATCATTAAACAAATAGTTAAAGGAAATTTCGATGTAAAATCATAATGCTCCGATTTTAACTCAATATTTTTTTTTATATTATCGATTTAATTTTATATTAGATCGCAAGCTTGTCCACGCTGTCGTACAAATAGAATTCGAAAAAGTTAAAATTAAAAGTATATTTTGTAGAATAATAGCGAAAGTATTTTGCATTTCCAATTTTTTTTGTTTGGTGACCAAATGAGTGTCTCATTAAAATATGTGATTTCGATCATTATATATTTTAGAATTTTTATATATTAATGTGTTAGTATTTTTAATAAGTATGACCTAGTAGCAACGAGACAAATAAAATCACATAACTCTCTGAACGTAATAATGCGTTTTAAAAATATGTCGTAAGCTGAAGATGCAACGATACGATAAAATGATACGGATATCCGTTAGCTTTTTATCGTGTCGCATTGTCAAGTGTTGCATCGTGGAACCGCTCATTTACTTTCTTCGATTTCCATCGCGTTAACTTAAACCTGTCACGAATGCAGACCGAAATTCGCGACGCTGAATGCAATTACGCGTTAGGTGCACACTGCGATCAGATGCATCGTAGAAAGGCGGAAAAGGAAGAATTCGGGATATCGTTTTTGACGAAATTCGTGAGTCGAATCACGCGAACGAAAGTCTCCGGATGAAACCCGCGTTGTCTCTTTAGAATATCGATCTTGCTCATTAAGTAACACGCTCGTCTTCGCGTTTGTCATAGACACGTATACAGACTGTCACAAATTAGCAACGAGTATACAAGTATTTGTTGTACATAACTAAAAACTATATAGGTAATAATCGAGGCGACATGATATCTATATTTTTCATATTTATTTCAATTGTAAATTAATTATTTAATAATTACATGTAAATTTGATACATAACCTTACCTTTGGTCGTATATCGTCCACTGAATGAAACCAAAACCATTACAGCGTGATGGCCCCTTTGTCTCTATTGTCTTTCCGACGATATCGAGTAGAAAGTATGTCGTTAACGGACGTCGATTTATATTTCGATTGTAATTCGCGGGGGACGCGGGAGGAGTCGATTAACCACAGATATAATTCACGAGTTGTATTTTATGTCCCGCGTAATAACAAGATGATTACCATCAATTGTGATCTGTGCAACTGTAACGACTGACGGAGCTTCACTCGCGTTTCCTGACGTTTCCTCTTTCTGGACGTTGAATTCACAATCACGAATAATCAATTTTGCTGCTCAATTATTATATAAGTTGCGATCGTGTTTCAACTGATATTTATATCTGAAAATGCGTAAAATAATAAATAATGTTCATTTCATGACCAGTTTCGTATTAATATCTAATATAGAATAATAAATTCATGATAATTTTTGTTAATTAGATTCGGGATGATTGCAACTTCTTTCTTTAATTTTTTAATTTCTGTTTACACTTCTTAATTCGTAGAAAATAGTAAATTATAATGGGGGCGGCAGTGTGGTCTAGTGGTAGAGCGCCAGACTCGTAACCTGAGGAACCAGGTTCGAGTCCACTAGAGCCATGTAAGCATGGAATGTTTTTCCGATAGCTGCGCCTCTCCGTGCAAGATAGGCTCTTGTGCGGAGAAAACTGGGCTCCGTCTCTCGGAAAGAGACGTTAAGCCGTTGGTCCAAAGGGTTAAAGTGAGAGGGGAAAGATAGTATTGGTAGTAGATTGCGAACCCTACGGGGGTATGCAATATATTACGAAAAAAAAAGTAAATTATAACGGTAACAATAAAAATGAGATTCTTAATCAAGTAACTCGAAAGTTGATAACATAGGACATTCACTCATATAACATACTAGATTTAAAGGTTTTTTCTAGTCTGTCGTAATATTTATTGCGGGATGTGTTGCCACTTACCTAGTCGTTTCGTTCAAACTTGACAACGATAGCTCTTCGTGAATCGATATTTAGATCTGTAGTAATAGCAAATTGCTATCAGAGGAACAAACACTCCAATCAATCCGTCATTTTCCCTTTACTTCTACATCATACTTTCTTCTCGAATGTAATGTGCATAAAATTTCGATCCTATTATCCCTTGAATCTCTCTTCTATCATCTGAGTGTAATATAAAAAAATCAATGATAGAACAATGACAAAAATAATAAATATGTATAATTACCATTAAAGTAACAAAAATGAAGAATAATCTTTTTGATCTAGAGTTATGTTCTAAACATTATAGGTATATAGTTTTTATGATCTGTTTTTAACGATATCGTTAAACAAATTGCTGATAGTAAGAAAGAAAAAAGAAATTGTAAGGGCAGTACGGGGAAGCCGGACATAATGAGGCAAATATAAGTAAAATGCATATTGGCATAGTGAAAATATGTAATAAACATATTTTATGCAATATATATGAAAACTTATAGATACACAACACAGTTTCGTCACCACCGGTATCACCGCCACTCCCAGCGCCTGCTCCACCGCTAATCAACAATCGTTTTCATTTGATCAAATCTGCAAATTCACAACTTACACAATAATACAGATACGACGTTAATAGAATAACACTTGATCCGCAAGTAAAATTCAATATTTAAAACAGTGTGACAGAGTACTTTGATCAATTTTGTCATTTCTTGAAACCTAAATAATGTTAAATTATTACGATTATAATTTACAGTTTTATGAAAAACAGAATACAAAATGAATAAAATTAAAATCAAATGATGATAAATTAATTTTGATTTCCTACTGAAAATCAGCTACTTGAGCTGTTCCGCCCTTGGGAGGGCGGATCGGGGAGATGTTGATGCTCTCAGGACCATCTCGCCCTGCGATCGGGGATGTTAGCTGGAGGGCAGGAGCGGGGCGGGGGCGGTGCAAAAAGTCTCCTTTGTCGCATTCACTTTCGAACTAATCTCCATGTTACAAGTGTTACAAATCAGTGCGCTCGACGTACAATCGTACAATCCAAGATTATATCATATATTATATACAGAACAATCTCTTAAATCGCTGAATCTGGATAAAGAACGCGTGATTGGATTCGTCTACCGCGATTGGGAATTTTTTCCTTCCGTCTGCTTTTCTCGCACTCCGCGTCTCTTCAATTTTGCACGCAAATTTCCGACGTTTTTTTTTGCGAGCGCGCGAGAAAACATTGTTGAAACTCGGATCCAATTTCGCCTCGATTCAGCTCTCGATACGAAATCAACTTCGAATTTCATTAAACTCCCATTTTTCGCATGGGAAATGTGTCTCGGTTCTGGAATTGAAAAATTCAGAATTATATCCACACACGCGAATGAACCAATCGCGGTAGAGAAAAAGCAAGAGGCGGCTTTGATGAGAGATCGCAGGATTTTATTTTCATCGGCGAGCAGGCGATAGAGATTGAAAATCTGAGGGATCAAGGTACTCGATGATACATATTACTCGTGCGTAGCCACTCGATAGTTTGAAAGACGAAGGACGAAAGTATGCGCCAGGCGAAAAAGTTGCGAAGCTCCGATGGAAGGATCTCGGGCGATCCTTTCTCGACGATGGACTTGTGCTCAGTATCCTCTTTTAAACAATTTCGAGATTGCCGAAACCTTCCGCGATATTGAGCTCCTCGGAATTGTAGAAAGGGACACACAGACGCGCGAACGGATCGTACCAATTATCGCGTTTGGCATAGTGACGTGGTTAAGAAGTCGACATAATTAGAACCGAACTCTTGGATTGCATTCGTCATTCGTCCACTATTTGTCGCGTTGAAAAAACTAGCGGCATGCGAAAACGGCGACGCGTTTGCTATCGCCGAGGTGTCAAAATAATTTCAACGGGCTTTCTTTAGCTTCTCTTTCTATCTATGTAGCTACCAGAATATTAATAACGAAAGCGGGATATTTCTCAAGACATCCATATTTCCAGAACGTTAATTTTCCCCGTGGAACCTTCGTGGAGAAAGAGAGAGTTCTACTATGGCGACTTTTTAATCGTGATCCATTTCCCTCGGAACGTCCTCTCTCGCTGACCTCCTGCTTCGGGATTGAAAGAGCGACGGACTTGTCTTGCACAGCATGAATTTATAATGGGCACAGACACTATGTATAAAATGTTACATACGTTTTTTCCCGCGAAAAATGTAACGTGTTTAAAATACCTTTTAAATGTAGCGTCTACTCGTAAACCGCTTGCTCGCGAGGGAAGTCGGAGTCGTCGTTGTCATAAAATTCGCGATGCAATCGGTGTCGCCCGAGTGCGACTCGCAATTTCGGCGCAAGGGAGATAACTTGATCACGTATCCTTCCCGTTTTGCGCGTATCGTATGCTCAGTGTCTTCGCCAGCTGCGTCTGTCTACGCGATTGAGGGCGGCCACATTTGGCCAGCCGTAGTTTTTCAGTTTTTCACACGAGCTTCATTCTCTCATTCTCACGTTATTCCAGATTATATATATTCAAAGAAATCAATAAAGTTCTTTTGCATGTCCTCAATACTATACTAATTTTCGAAAATATTTTGTTAAAAAAATAAGAAAAAAAACTTGAATATCTTTCATACATAATCCTATACGTTAGAATGAGAGACGTAAACTTGAGCAAACGTAAACAAAATGCACAAAGAATATTTTCTTGATTTGCCGTAATTATTTAGTATTATTTAACATTTGAATAAGATAAAATTACGAACATTGCTTCTATGCATATCTTTTATCCGACTATAAAAATAGTGATCATATTTAGTCACTTAAACCAACGGCAAAAGTAGATAATCCTTAAATGGCACAGCAGGAATACTTAATACAGTCCCAGTTTACATTTGAAGTTAAAAAACAAGGCAAACTGTGGATATTTATTGCTACAACTAGTATAATAAATAAGTAAAAACCCTTCGGTATTAGCAACGGCATTCGGCAATTGATAGTGGAAAAAAAAAACCAGAGAAAAGAATGCCACACCAGTCAAGGAACAATATATCTTTCTGAAGACTGAGCGTCAAGTATTCGGGGAACCAGCCCACACATACGTTAAGAATAATTTCTTTTAATGCGAAACTCCGAGGAGATATGGCCGGCGACGAAAGGCCAGGCGGCGATATGTATTTTCGTCACACAGTACACATATCAGTAATTCGAAACGAGATTTGCGCGGCGAACGTGGCCGCCCTCGGCCGGGACCACGCCAGGCTCTCTTCCTTTTTTCTAAAAAGAATCGTCTAACCGTACGCACAACACCTGCCGTGTACCTAAGTGCGAGAATCCACGTGTGCTGCGTTGTATGTGTATGTGTGTACTACTGATAATTTAACGATCAAAAAACCGCGCTACCTGCAAAATTGAAAAGCTGCGATTTCCCCGTATCAGCGCTGCGCCGCTGCACTATCGTGTCGCAGAGAATTAACTACAAATCGTGTGTGTTTAATCGTTACATCGAAAATATTCGGTATCGGTTACAGCCTAGAATACTGAGCAAAGAACGAATACATCAGCGATCAGTGATCTGTGAACGATCTCGAAGCGCCATTCCCGTGAATTCGAATCCTCTCTCCCTCCCTCTCTCCTCCTTTTCCTTTCTATCGAATATTTAATGTATAATCAAATGTAAAGTCTCGTGTGGCCGGAGTAAGCTTTTCAGGATAGTCGATCACTGTTTTCCAGCCTTCTTAATCGATTCGCGACACTAATGGCGGAAATAGAAACGTCACGGAGAAACGAAAAGAGAGAAAGAGAGATCGACGTTTATACGCGTTTAGGAGCAGAGCGACTTGAAATGCTTTGTAAAAAATTTATAGAATATATATACATCTATCTTTTTCTGTATATGTATATATATGTAGAAGTATATATTATTGCGTAGGCATTATATATATGTCATCGGTGTTATTTTCTTCGTTTCCTTCTCGTCGCGCTTGCGTTTCTCCCATTGTTATACGATAGTAATGATGATAACAATAATAATCATAATAAGAGTACTAATAAAACTAATAATAGTAATAATAATAATTACAATCATAACAATCATAAGAATACGAACTTTGATAATTGTCTAATGTCGCTGGCGCGACACACTTTCGCTGTTGCATTCTGTCTGTATAAAGGACATGACTACTTTATACGGTGGCTGAACCGAGAAAAATCGGTTTCTTCATGTTCCTGTTTAGATTGCTACGTGATAATAGCGCGAAATTTCTTTTGTAAGTACCGTTACCTTAATACTGTGATCTAACGTCGTCTATAAGCAAGAATAAAAAAGAAGATGCTTTCATAGTCGTCTTAATTAATCCGACAAAAATCGAAATTGTCCACGCTCGAGAAGTTCTTAAAGTAAAAAACTCTGTAGTGAACAAATCAATCGTAAAATCTCACATTTCCATCTCACTTAACGCCGAGATGCCAGTGGGGAATCGCGAATCAAAGATTGCCCAAATATTCGTACGATAAATCAACAAAAACGAACGTTTTTCTTAACACCCTTATAATGTCATTTGCCGTAAGAATATTCTTTGGCAACTCCCTCTCCCAATCTCAGATATTCTATTCGTGATTTTGTCCTCGATTTTTCGCGACCATCGTCCATCAAAATTTCTGTAATTTTATTGCGCGACGTATTGTGTACTTTCAATGCGCTTCTTTCGTTTTTATCATGTTCCTCTTATGATATACAGCGCATAAGGTGTCTCTCTTAACATGTAAATATATATAAATAATTATTTGCGAGTCGGTGAGTAAAATAATTGGCGTCTAATTGGCGAGATACGGTATACTTCTTTCGTTTGCTGCTCTTCGACGCGTAAAAAATCGATCTGAAGGAACGAATGTCAGATTGTTTGAACCGCAATGTCGGGAACTCGAAAGAGACGAGCGTTCGATCCGAAGCCGAATGTTTGAAAAGCCTAAATCGCATGGCGATTTTTAACAAGCAATTGTTTAATCCGAATTAGCAGAATAAGGTTGTCTTTCAGAGCATGTGCGATTGGAGGAAACATATATTTTATTTAGTTTTCAAAAAAATGCCCAATTGTTTCGAGTTGATATTGAATTATATAACTATACGGAATTTTTTTGTTAGATTGTTCTCGTAAACTCATAAATTTCCAAAATTAATACAAGTATTTGACATTCTTTCTATCGTATTTCGGATAAATAGTTTAAAAAATTATTTCGATGTATGTTTTTATCATGACTCAACTCACCGTGTTGCTCCTTAATCCTTTCAATCTCAATATATGGGCTATTAGCAAGATTACATTGATTACACCAGATTGACGTTTTTGGACCTCGATGCTTCCTTCAATAGTACGCGCTCCTAAGTTGTCCTATGGATATCGTGTTACGTTCCTTGTAATTCAGCTGCGAGATTTGACTTCAAGTCTTGGCTATGATAGCGATCGGATTAAGAATAAAATTTTCTACGGAGGGATCAAACAGCCTCGGTCGCACTCTCCCGTCTCTCTCGCGCGTCGCAGCTTTCCACGTTTTGTCGATCGGGACAAGCTGATTCTCACGGTGATGTCACGGTGATGGCTCCTAACTAATATAGGACGACCTCCCTCGTGCGTGTTTTCCCTTAACTACCGTGATCCTGATCGAGCTCGTCCAGCGATTCGAGCCTCGCGATCGGTGCTTCGTTTATCGTGAACTCCCACATCGTGTCCTCGCTGGTCTGTCTCGAAGAGTCTTGTTGCCGGGGTCCGCTCGCCTGTCCCCTGGTACCACCCTCATGTCTGCTCTCCGACCGACCCTGTTGTCCCGATGTAGATTCTGTACCGTTGCCGCCGCGATGATTCGACGAGTCCTTACGCGAGTCCCCGCTACGTGGACGTTGGGCGCCTCCTCGATCCTCTGACACTACGCAGCTCCAGGGATCTTCACCCTCCGGTTCCGATCGCTTATTGAACGAGCTGTATCTAGCGCAAGGCACGCTTTTGTTAACGGCGTGATAGCGGCATCCTGTTCGGCATTGAGCGCGGCCACTAAACGTGGACGGGACGAGAGATCGAGAATCGGCGTCCACGTTTAGCAGCCGACGCCAGCAGTGGCATACTTTTCGGTCCATGATTTTAAAACAAAGTTGGAACAAAGTTTAAAACAAGCGACGAGACCGAGTCGTTAATTTGAAATAGCGGACACGCGCCACTGCCAACGTAGTTTTGCTTTCTAATATCCGATATACATGATAGATTAAAATCATCCAGATTTTCGCGTTAAGAATCTCTCTATAATGTCTTTATCAAACTACCTACCCAGTCCGGTATTCGCCTCTCCTGAAAGCAGCGGGTTGGCTATGCCAGGCGTGACCCTGATGGACTTGCTGCTGTGTGCTAGTCGGCACTGCCAGGTCGACCGGTTGACTTTGCGACCTCGTGGGCCCGGTCCGGCCGTTTAGCGCCGTTTGCAACGCCGTTGCGAGCGCGGACGTGTCCGACGTGACGGTCAACCGCGACGTTCCCGATGACGTGGAGGTAGGCTCCCTCATGGGGGGTCTGTTGCAGAGTGGAATAAAGCTCGTATCAGCGAATCGACGCGCGAAAGTTCAGCTTTTTTTTTTTCATAAGAAAACCGCTAAGGATAGCCGAGCGAGATATATACTTGAAGCGTACGTGTTTATGTACAGTGGAATATTCGACAACACAGGCCTCTAATCCTCTAAAGTTTAATCCCGAGCAGTGTCACGGGCCCCGCGCGTTTAGGACTACCGGGCGCGCAATGGGACCGACATCGACCATTCGCGTCGGCTATAATCGATCAAGATTACGAATAAAAAACGACGATGAGAATGATCTATCTAAACGTGCATGAAGGATGATTTATCTTACCAAGAAATCGGTTCCATCAACGTCAGTCAACTTCAATCAGAGTTCGATTGATTGAACTCCAAGAAAGATAAAAGAATCAATCAAGATTAAAATCAACTGAGATTGGCGAAACTGGAAAGAACAAGAAATTTTCTTCAATAGATTCGGAAGTAAAGACTAGTTGAGTTAATTGGAGGTTAATTAGACATGTGAAGAAAATTATTTATCAGCGAAACAGAAGAAAGAAAGAAGTACGTGCAAATTAGAGAGAATAACTTCTAATAAAAGTTTACTTTTATCTTAACGCAATGCTTCTTACTTTTCTTGCATTTCTAGATATACTCTTTCTAAATACTGGATGGACTACGTGATTTGCAAGTGTCAAAGCTTTCGAGGCGTGCGACGTTAGAAATGATAATCTACAGAAAAAGAGTACCAAAAGTATACTACGGTTCTAAAGGCTATAAAATTCCGGAGTAGTGGCACATCGCCTCTGTTTTAAACTAATTGCTTTATACAAAATTGCAGTTATTATTAACGCGATCCAATTATGATTTTTAGGCAGATTATGATTATGCTTATGATCAAAGGGAAAATTTAGAATCTTCGTGATGGATATATGTTAACGCCACGTGCCGTTCGCTTGGACTCGATCTTCGTGACACTGCTCGCAAAGAGTTCAAAGAAGAATACGTGATGGTGATCACCTTCGGAACTTGTCCAACTTTTCCAAAATAAAAGACGCCGAAATCAAATGCAACTGATCCAGGGATTTCGAAAGAAGGCTTTTCAAGAATAACAAAATATCGATTACTTCTTGCGATTCAAGTTTCAGTTTCGGAGTCTACGGCGTCGTGGAAAATCGCAAACCCTCTCTACCGCATCCGAACGAGCGTTGCTGGTACGCAAAACAGTTTCGCACGCGAAACTGGATCTAACGTTAAGTCTCGACGCGCGAGAGAGGTACGCGATCCGACTAATTAGAACCGCTGGAAATTTAACGCGCGAAATCTCGTTTATATTCGTTCCGTTCTTACCTGAACAAACCGTGCGACGTGCTGGGTTGAATCTTTCCGTTTCCGTTGCCCGCCGGTGCCGTCGGCGGCTGCGGCTCGCTCGCCGATCTCTGGACCAACGCGGGCGCACGGCTGCTCTGCTTCGTGCCGGTTGGCGCGGTTCCCGGCATCATCTCGATGCTGGAGCTCTCCCTCGATGAATTGAGCGTCTGCTGGAGCAAGCTCAGGATCAATCTGATCTCGCTGGCCATCGAGTGCTCCAACGAGGATACTTGCCGCGACAGCTGATCGATCCTGGCATTAATCTCCTCCACGGGCCGACCCGGGCCACTCTGAAAGTCGCCTGGAAGGGCAAACGTCTTCATCTCGCGGCAATTCGATCTCGATCGCGATCAAAATTCGAACACAGTTCACGTCGCATCTCGTCGAATCAGCGTGATTACGTTAGGCGATTTTTGATGATGGATATACGATGATAGTACATCAGGTGACGGAATTTTATATCGACGTGAGTGAAACGAAAGCGAAAAATGACGGAAGTCGCGGAAACTACTAAGATTAAGAGAAATGAGGCCCCTACCATGGGAATGAGGATGCTGCGGGGGCGATGGTGTGGTGTAGTGGCTCGACGTTGTCGAAGTGGGATGAACGACGTTTTGATTGAGGCAACTCTCGCCAGCGGCGGAACTCCGGCGCGCTGCTTTCGTCAGCGGCGTGGTCACTAGGTTTTAAACGCCACCGGTGAGTACCACGAGTACGGGAGGAATATATAAATTGAGTGCTACTTATCGCATATAGATGCAATCGCGCTGCGAGATATTCTCTACTACGGCGTGCATCGCGATTAAGAATCTAGATGAAACGACAGTCGTACGTCTTCAGGGTTCTGGCGAGCGGTGCAAAATTCGGCAGGTCAAGGATGATTTTTAGGTGCAACGAGGTCGGGCCAATCTATTTCGGGGTGTTCGGAATATACGGGGTACTTACTTTGTTTCGCGAGGTAATCGTGACTGGTAAGCGGCTGTAGGTGAATCTTGTGTTGACGTAGATCCGGTATGCTGCGCTTGAGATGGGTTAGCATGCCTGAACAACCAGGTTTTAAGGTGTTATCGAACTTGGGACTCAAACAAAAAGCAATACGCTTAGAGGAGGAGAGAAAGAAAAGAGAGAAAGATCTAAACGGGATAGAAGAGGAAAACTGCCGTAATAACGCTAAATAAATCGAAATAATTGATATACGAGCTACACCAAACTGAAGGCAAAATACATTTTAGGAAGCTTAAGATTTAAGATTAAGACGCTTTTAACATTGTTACAAGCGTAACATTGTTACGAATTGTAAGCGAATCTAAGTAGTTGATTCTAATAAATTACGTTGCGCATTTAGCGCTAAATGTGATTATATTAATTTCTAATCATTTTTTTTCTTTTTAATCTTCTTTCTATTTCTAATCATTAAAATTTTCTTATTAAATCCTAAATAAAATTTTAAATCAGATGAATTTAGCGTTAAAGTTTGCATTTACGGATATATTTAGCGCTAAGTGCGAGACGTCAATGCAAGCGCAGTCAATCTTTATACAAGGAATTTTGCTATTAGTTATTGAACAAAGATTGAAAACATCCGAACTGAATTAAACGTATCTTGAATTAAACGTATTAAAAAGAAGTACCCTGCTGTATAGAGGATTTATATCTCGTGCAATGAGTAACATTCCTCAAACATAATATTAAGAACAAACATGAGAAAAACTGGAACATTGTTTCCCCGAAGTGACGAGGCTGAACGAAAGAAATAATAACCGCTCACCAGTTATCGAGTTTAAGGTCGAGCTTCTCTGTTTGGGCTCATCGAATTCCAGATTCAATGGTGTCACGTCTTGACCAGCCTTATCCGTGCTGAACTCTAAGATACCATGACCGCTACCTTTGTCGCTGCAACAGATAAAAAAAGAAGCTGATCGATCAATCTGTCATCTTCAGCAAACATAATACGCTGTGCTTTCATGTTTTCTCTAATATCTATAAAATGTTTATTACAATAATCTTATTAGTCAAACATTGATCTTTCTTTTAATGATAGATTGAGAAAATTGATACAATGAAAAGAGATAATCTCTTACTAGTCATCCTGGTCGTCTTGCAAGGAGTCTTGTCGACCTGTAGGAATAAGATTTGTGCCAGGACCACCGGGTCCTCGACGGTATCTTGGTGGACGGAAAGCAAACCTCCTAGCGTCGATGTCGACGTCGGTTGGAGTACTGACAGGATACCTTGCTGATATTGGATCGACCCCAGCCTGTTCCTCCTAAAGATGAAACGGTGGTTACTCGCGAGTCGGATCGTATATCAATTCGATGAGCATGTAAATGGCTACACGCAGTTAGCCATAGTTAGTTTAAGTGATAATCATAGAGCAAAAATATAATAAAAATGAAAATTTCAAAACTATAAAATGTGTAATGCAAATATAAAAATGTTTCTTTATAAATTTCATCACAAGTAATAATAAAATTTGAAACAAGGGAGAGAACGGAATTATATTAAATCGTAAAATTGCGCGTAAAGAAAGCCGAAAATAGCACTTACATCTCGCATGTTAAAAGTGATCTCAAGATTCTGGCTGAAGTGGTTGGAGAATTCCGGATAAAGTGCCAAGACGTCGAGCAGGTCGTCCCGGTGGATTTTGTGAAGGTCGCAATACGTAAGGGCGCGAACGTTACAAGACGATTTTCCAACCGTCGGATAAATGCACGGATTCTCGCCAAATATGTCGTCCTTGCCCAAAATAGCCATTACGATATCGTCTTTCAGGATCTCGATACTCCCGCGGGATATAAAATACAGGGAAGTCAGCACGTCCCCTCGATGGACTAAAGTATCACCCGGAGGCGCGTGCGTGGTCTTAAACTTTAAGGATAATGCCCTGTTTTGCAAAAAGAAACGAGGGCTTTCTTGTCATCATGAACTTATTATGCGTAAAAGATAATCACATCTCTATTTATGAAAAGTAATAAAAATAAAATATTGTTTTGCACAAGTTTAAAAATAATCAGATTTTCGAAACAAGTTAGGGAGCAAGTACCTTAAACAGCCTGGACTGGCCCCCTCGAAGGCTCGGCAATTGTTTAAAAGATTCCTATTGAGATGAAGACAGATGTCGGCCTGAAGGCACTCGGGGAACCCTTTCAGAACACTGTTCATATCAATCCCGTTCGTATAGGTCCACGCGTGTTGAAAGTACTCTTCTAATCGTTGGCGGAGTGGATTCGGGATCTGGTGAAATCTTATGAATTCCCTGACTCGGAGCATCTGTGTGTGATACCGGGCTGTGCCGCTGTATAGCCTCTGGATGATCGCCGATACATTACCGAAGATACTGGCGTACATCAGGGCTAAAATTGATCGTGTCGTGAAACAAACCGCGAACCCGAGGGATTAAGATGTTTTAGCGGTTTCAGGCGCAAATTTTGCCATTGTTTATTCAAGATGCTATTAATATCTGAATGTCTAGAATATTCAAAAATGTGTCTGATATTACTAATACTTTTGTCATAAAGTATTCGTTATACTTATATTTTATTTACTTTTATTATAATTTAATTATTACATAGTTATTATATTTCTGATAACATTGCTATTTTTAATAAGAAGACTAAACACGCGTGTGCCGCGATAAGATCCGTCATTATTTATCGACTCACATCCGATCAGCATGACGATTATTGTAAAGATTTTCTCAGCGTCGGTATTGGGCGCTACGTTCCCGAAGCCTACGGACGTGAGGCTGCTGAAGGTGAAATAAAGCGCCGTGATGTAACGACTCTGGAAAAATTACAGCGTTACACGTTGAACAAAAGGGTTCGCGTATCGCCATTAAGTGCGATTTCAAATAGAGCGTACTCGAGAGGTATTCGCGCGGATGGCTTACTTTTATGCTCGGCCCGCCGGTGTTATTGTGAAAGTAAAACTGATGAGTGTCGTTGGCTAAAATGTCGAGCCAACCAACCTTGCTTTTCAGCGTCGGTCTCTCGGCGTTTCCTATGGCGTACCTTTAAAAAGAGCGAAATACCCGAGTAATTTATTGCATTCAGAGCAATGTCTCAAAATGTTACGTAACAATTGTTATATGATTTAAATCTTTAATCGATTAAACATTTGCAATAAGAAAAAGATGGATTTTCTATATAGTTTCCTTAAGGAAAAATCTTCAACTCGGTTAAAGCAGTAACAGTTGAAGAAATAGTTATAATATGATTTATTAATACTCAATGCATTACACAAATTAAAGACGTTATATTTCTGAGTAGGTCCAAAGATATATAGACGGTATCACTCACCATATACACGCCATCCAATGAGCAATAAGGGCAAAAGTGGCCATTAAAAGTAACAAAACGGCAGCGCCATATTCGCTGTATCTGTCGATCTTCCTGGCCACCCTGACAAGACGCAGTAGACGAGCCGTCTTCAAAAGTCCGATCAAGGTCGTCGTCTGAAAACGATTGATCATTTTTCTTTATATCTCTTGAATCTGCGAGCCTGCGGAACATTAATCTCGCGCTGTACAGAAATCGGCCTTACTCAACGCCGTCTGTTACTACTTAAATAATCGATGTCTTTTATTGTTTCGTGAATCTGAAGTTGCTCATGCAAAGATGAATCGTGCCTTTGCAGCAAGACGTATTTGCATAAATATAAAAAATTTCGGGAATTCTCGAATAATTATTTTTTTGTTTTTAAAGATATGGTTACTCTTATATAAAAAGATTTGCTGGTAGGTATACGACAGGTCTGTCATTTCCATTAAACTTGATAAACGGACATTTATCTGAAATCTAATCATCCGACGTCTACGTAAAGGCCATTTCCGTGTTGGAAGTGTCACTCTCGCCGGAAGTCGTCACTCTGGTTGCACATCAATCGCTGAAACGGAGAACGTCACTCGTCGGAATATCACAATATAATATGCACACGACATTTCAAATACCAAAGTTGAAAGCATCGTCTTCGCGGCGTGCCACTCCTTAGCATTGATCTAAATCTGCGTTCAAGGACCGATCTTTCAATAATTTGCAGCGAGAATTAATTCGACATTAATTTGACGTTAAGGCACCGTATTCAATGGAGGTGCCTTTCGAGGTAAACAGCAAAGTGACGACCTCCTTGTTGCGGAGTTAGCTGTCGCAAGTAAGCTCGAGTTTTGATTCGAGTCACTTACGTCTTTTCAAATTTGCATAATTTTAAGAAAGACAGAAATTCTCAAAATGACTTTCACAAAATACATTAAAGTGTAGTGCGAGCACTCTTGAGCGTATTTAACTTGAATGAAGAATAATACAATTACATAATACAAATTGACTGACAAGCACAATCGTCGAAATAAAGATATGATCTGCGATTATATCAGCTTCGAGGAAATTGCTGAGCATGAATGGACTGTTCATGCTTCCTCTTTGTTCTTACCTGCCGAGAATTCGAAAATTCGCGGTTAAAAAAAAAATCACTTCTAAACATGCAAACAGTAATAAGTACAAGTCTACATTCGATCGAACGCTTTCAAAGAGAAAGAGATCGAGCTCGATATTTTTACAACTATCATGCGTTGTGTTCCAATCGAAACAATTCGAATCAATGTCATATATTGCGTGTGCGTTTGAAGCGAAACTCTGAAGGCGATATAATATTTTGAGACGATTAAAAATATTATTTTTCGGTCATAAAGTTTTTTGATATACACGCGACTCATTGCACGTTTATTACAAGAGAGACAAAGCGCATAAGCGATAGAAAACACGCATAATCACATATATACAAGAGTTCTTAGGCAATTTGTAATACCTATAACAATTGAAGGAGCAAGTGTACGAAAAAGATAATCACTATATGAAAGTATGTTCATAATCTATATAGAAAAATCCAATATAAAAATTTTAATTAAAATTCGAAATGGAGGAAAATCAATTTATGAAGAAAGTTGACTTTCGCGAGAAACGAATACTTAAAGAGATATCAAACTTCCATTATTCGCTTGCTCTTTCAATCGTCACAAATATGGAACGTAAAATTTTGTTAAGCAAATTTTTGTCAAAAATGAAACATCCACACGGACACATACACATATACGCACATACACACACGTTAAACCGGGAAAAGTCCATCGGTCAGGGAACCTCTCGTTTTTTAGATCAAGTACAATCACGATTTTGTATAGCTTGCAACAGAGACGTAATAAAAAGATACAAAAAAGCTCGAAAACAGAATGGTAGGACCAACATAGTATTGAAACAGAATCGAGAAAAAAAATAGCAGAAGCGTACGCGCAGTTACTGACAAAATCGCGATGAGATACTATCAATCGAAGTGTTCTCGTTATATGTTGACTACTATTCATGATTGATACACATCTGCTCGTATACAGTTCGGTTTGTGCATGTATACACATGTGTATGTGTGTGTGTATGTGTGCGTGTGTGTTTATATCTGTATGTGTGATCAATTCATATTCAATGGAATTTTATTTCAGTCCCAAATAATTTGATTTATTTTCCCACTTCTGAAAACGTTCTCGATTATATCTTTCGAAATCCATCGATATTTTGTGAAATTGTGATAAAAAGAATACTGGTTCAAGATTGATGAATTAACGAAAGTGTGTATATCGTGTGATGCTCAAATGCTTGCCTATGGATCTGATAAAAGCACAATTTTGCGAAATATGATCGAGGCAATCATAAACAGTCATTATCGTCCTGCAACTATAAAAAGAAAACGAATTGCGCGAGACTCGAGCGAATAAAACGAGCCTAAAGTCGATTTACTTGCTAGAAATCAATTCGACAAAGCTGGATGCAAAAAGAATTCTTAATCGTGCGATTAATATAAATGTGATTCGAAGTTTGATATCTGGTAAGAAAATATCTAATTACAAAAATAACAGAGCTAACTGTAATTCTCACCAGATATTGATAACATATATTACATTTATCACATACGATAAATCATTGAAGAGAACTATCAGCAGTAAAAATTTTCGATTGTTAGAATTCAAATTTTTCGCTACGACTGAAAATTAAACACGCATCTGTGCCAATACGTGAGAAATCAGAATTCTAAATTTACATAACTGAATATTAATTTATTCTTTTATGTTCAATATTATGCAAATTTCGAAAATTTGCATTGGCGCAAATGTACGCTCACTTGCCAGCTGTAGTAAAATCCAAATTTTAATAATTATTCTTGTAGCACGCAAACGAACCGATTTTGCGAGGACGCGCAACGATGCAAACGTACAAGCCGTAATGCGCTTTGTAAACGGTATAAACTTTACTCTAAATCTTGCACGAACGGGTTGAAGCGAATTGTTATCTCATACAATACCTAATTAAAAAAAAAAAAGAAAAAAAAAGCATGCATTTTGGTAATTTGGTATATCGTACATGTGAGAATAGAGTTGATGAAAATTCTGCCTTCTCGTATTACAGTTTATTGTATCTTCGCAAACTGAAGAAAGTAAGAATTTATCGAAGGACACCCGAACAACGATTTGCCATCAACTTTATTCAAACTTCCTCGGCACGATGGGGTTGCAATGATTGAATGAGGTGTTTGGTACGTGTGGTGAGTCGCGTGAACACTCTTGGTCGTCGAGATGGTATCGCCGAGAGGGGATGGTTCATATTGCAAGAGAGACGGTGCTGAAAGTATTTAAGATGTGTAATATGTGTTTAAGCGGTTTGTACACGAGAGAAAGAAGAAAAAGGGGAAGGGGGAGGCGGGGAGGGAGGGAGAGAGAGAGAGAGAGAGAGAGAGAGAGAGAGAGAGAGAGAGAGAGAGAGAGAAGAAGTTAGAGTAGAGAAAACTCGTGGTTGCGGTGGTGATTTTAATCGTTTGGTGTGTAAAAACGATGTGGATTGTAATCCTCATTAAGTAATAATGAAAGAAAAGACACGTCAGTGAGGATCTCTTGTGTATATTATGTGTTAACTAACCTCGTCCTTGTCCAAGCCGAGCTACGAAAACGTTAAACTGAGGTTAAAATTTATTCTCTTCACATTATGAGGATAATTTATAATTTCATTTTCCAGATCAATTCAGATTGAGCGTTCGCTTAAAATAGGAATAAAAAAATTCGTATGCATTCTAGACTTGGTTCACTTTCAACAAATTGCCGAGAGATGGATGACTTCATTAATTACTTCGCTACGGAAACTGGTTGATTGGGGATGCAAATGATATTCTGGCTTCTCTTACAGAAGCACGATAAATTAAATTAATTACAGGAAGAGTTATTTATGTTCATTCGTTTTTTTCCTACATAGATTATCTTTATGAGCCACCGGTATCGTTCACACAAATCGAGAGAGGAGAAGGAGAGAGAGATAAATAAAGATCTCGTAAGAGAAATCTCATAAAGAACTCATGACAGAATATTCAAAAGAATCATTTAAACGAAACGAATAAAAAAAGTAACACGACAAAAAAATAGAAGAGAATCTTGACGAAAACCTGATATATGTATAGTCTAATATTTTGACAATCAGAGCAGAAATTTTTACAGCGACAGACTATATATTTACTTACATATTTATGAAGAGTGTATGCATACGTGTGCGTACAGGTACGAGTCAAATTCGAGACAAAGGGATTGTTCACCTATATCCGTTAAGTTACGCATGTCGCCTCGCGTAATACATAACTTTATGAGTGACATAACTGACACTGAACATCGTATAGTTACTTGTTGGTGCGTTCAGCTATAATTCTGTCTGTTAACTCGACGTAAACGCGAATCTGGATGTGGAAATGGAAAATCGGGCTTCGTTGTGTGATTGATCCTCGACGCACGTGTAGCACACGTTAAACGTTGTGTAAAATCGTTCCAGACAGCGAGAAGCCATTAGAGCGGCTCTCGCTCGCCCGTACGTATACATTGTGTGCACATTAACACGACGACTCGACTAACTCTCGACAAAGGAAAACGAAATCATTCAACACCGAGAGAAATGATCGAAAATAGGGAGAAACGAACTAAGCACCAGTCCGGTAAAGTCACATCTATGGGCACTTGGGCTCGGCATGTCATCCTAATCATATTTACCAGCTAACACCGACATTCTAGAAAATTCTGTCTGGCGATCTGGCGTTCGCAAGAACCTCTTTCTTACTTTTTACAATTATCCCCGTTGCTTCTATTTCATTTCGTTTATATATAAAAATACATTAATTAACGCGAGCCATTAAAAAAAAAAATACTACGAATTTTTATAACTTTAAAAAATTCATAAACGACAGTTTTAGTATCATTGGCATAAAATGTGGTCGCTTGAACACCAGATCCGACTTGGAAGAAAAATAATCTAAGGTAATGCAAAGCGTGCGACGGAACTTACCTCGTCAGTGTCCGAGCCGACGAGTAGGAGGTCGAAGGGAATGGCAGCTACCAGGTCGATGATAAACCAACCCTTCAGGTAATGGACGGCTATCTTTCCAGGATGGGAGACCACCTCATCGTTGCTGTTGACGAACGTCGTGCGAAAATTTATAATAATGTCCACGATGAATGTGACGTCGACTGAAAGATAAAAATACATTGCTGTATTCTAAAAAAATCGATAATTTTCTAATATTTTTTTAATTATTATCAAATGCAGTCTATTATAGTACTCATTATATCAAAATCAACCGCATCTTTATTTTATTTCTACATCTCGACAATATTGAGTTATACAATTGCGTTCTTCAGTTTCAACAAAAATCGATTTTATGAAGCAAAATAATGTGAGATAGTATCTCCAGAACTGTTCATTTGGACGTTTCTCCGATTTCTTTTCCGCTCGTTCTATTCGAGTACTATTGTCTCTTTATCCGTTCTATTGTTTCAGACAGTCATGACACGTGTTATCCTACATTGTTTGAAACGTTATACAGTGCTGCTCTGAGCGTCGATATCAAATTTAGAATTTAATACTCTAAGAGCCAGTTTTATCTCTCACTGTCAGATAGCTTTGTTTAATATCTTACTTTACTTAAAATTTATTTCCATTATATAATTTTATTATAGTCTCGGAAACTTAAACTATGGCAACTATATTAAACCATCTAACTATTAAAATTAACCGACTACTATTATTATTGCACTTGTAATATTAATCAATATCTTAATTATTTTTGTATATTATTAATCGCACAATTTTGCGCTAAGAATAAAATATAGTGATAAACTTAATTGGCTCACCTATAAAGTCTATGATAACGATGGGATCGTCACTGTACTTCTTGTTCTTTCTGCTGTTGTAATCCGGATCCGATAGAACAAATGCGGCGACGTACGGCGTAAATATGGCGGTGTACATCACGAGCAGCAATATAATCCAATCCCAAACCGCCTTGAACGGCGAGTAGTGTAGTATGGTCCACTTATGGATTCTGGGAGACTGTAATTTGTACTCTGGGAGAACGTCTGCTCCGAGGGACAACACCTGCGACAGACAATATTGAAATTTTGAGATTGAGGTCCGCTTTATTTCTATTTTCTCACGTTTTCTCGCTTCAAATCGTCACGTAGAATAAAACATTAGGTCTGCCGACTGTCGTATTACATAAATTCAACGCCGGTCCGAGCAGAGTGTTCTACGTGTGTTTAAAAAAATACGTCACGTTTCAGAGAGATAACGCGAAATGGTTTTCCATCAGCACGTCGTTTATACTTCGCGGTGACGTTCCGGTAACATCGTCAAAACATTATTACGTGATGTAGCGACACCAGCTTAACATCGTTCGCGTTAAATTGCATCGCGAATAAAATACACTTGTAGGGCGCCGCGTGAGGAACACGACGTACACGAGCGGCGTTTCACATCGCTTACAAGATACACGGGAGGAACAGCGCGGAAGCAACTGCGAGCAAGACTATTTGCTGACCTGTCTAGCACAGAAGTGTTTCGAGTTACTTATTGTACTCTCTGCCATTTAAGACGCGCGCGGTTCACCGGGAATCGATCGGCGAGAACGTGAATCGATGACAGAAGCCGCGAGATCTCCCCGAGGGAATAGTTTGTAGGCCAAAACTTCCCGTACATCCATTGCGTCAACCCGATCCCGCTGGTGGATGAAAGTAGATCTTTCGAATCACGCTGCTCCACATCTCCGAGAGCATCGCCTTCAAACAGTAACTTGGTAAACTCTCCTTCCCTGAGCTGTTATCTGCTATATCGTTTCCCGGGCAATCCGATGATGTTTGAGAGTGTTCGCGCAAGGGATTACCGTCACAAATGCTTGGCGAACGGATTTAAAACACCTGGCTTCGTGGTCGAGCTAGAGCTTAACCATTTGTTCGTCGTCGTAATCCGCAATTCCTTCAAAGCTTCGTGCTCGATTTCCTCATAATACCGAACGACGGTGAGCGTCGTTGAAACGGCGCCTCGTTACTAGGTCGTAAAAATAACGGCTGCGATTCGCGCGTGAAATTCACCTAGCACCAAGAGCGCGGCACCAAGAAACGCCGGAAACATCAATATCCCTTCGGGAGCAACCACTATTGATCGTCGGATAAAAGTTTCGAGCGCGAAACTTCGCGGATTCGGCGTCGCGAAGTAGAACGGATCGGTAGAGCTCTGGAGCTCTCCAGAAACACGGGCGATATTTCGAGTTATCGATCTTGCATATGGCGCTCGGAATCGGGGACGCTTGTTTATGGCGCGCGGGAACGTGGGAAGAACCGGAAGAGTGCCGTCCGAGAGCTAGTTTAACACTGATGCAATGCGGCCCGACGAAGGGAGGCGTTCGTTCGATTGGCTCGGGGTTGGCTGGTTAGCTGTCCGCTCACGAGAAGCGGTGTGCGAGTTAGGGTAGCACCACCGTCACACCCTCAGCCAACACATTTCGGTCCGTGAAGTGTCGGAGGTACAACATTGAGCCGCCGAGAGTCTTCGGTCGTCTAAGAGTCTAAGTCTAACGAGAATTAGTCCGGAGTTCGATAACGATAGCCCGCGCGCAAGAGACTCGCAATATGAACTGACGATCCTATCCCGGGTAAAGTCGCAGTTCGCTCCCTCTTCCTTCGTCTCCCTGTGCCGTCAATTTATTATTATCAACCCCCCGCCGATAAGGCGACCGATAAGCGGATAAAAATGGAAACTGGGATATTGCTGATGCGGATACCACCATCATTATTCACCATCACGTTGCATATCCCATGGTGGTTCCGAGTATTTACTAACATTACTACACTACTACCACTTTACTAACTTTATTAATATTCTAAACTTCCATATTTGAACAACCTTTAAATTGCATAATCTATTTCCATTTTATTCTTAAATTTATTATTTTAATTTTCTTACTATTAAATATTAATATATTGTCGTACTTTTTTTGAAAATTATATTTTTCTAGATTATTAAATCTGATATTTTTGTTGAATACGCGATTATCATTAAATTTTGATCTGGAGCAGCGCGATTGTATCTCATCTGATTTATCGAATATCCAATAAGTACCTAAATCCGTCTCGCTAAAATGTTTTTAAAGGGAAAAGACTCAGGATAGTTCGCTAGTTTCTTCTTTAGCTTCTTTATCGATTTTTTATTATCAGCTTCCATCTGGTGGAAAGCGTACAGTCAGGCGGGTCAGAGGGGGTGAAGAAACTCGCTGGTTGGCTCGTCAGAGACAGCCACGAGAATGTAAATTCAGGTAGGTCATGTTTTATTCATGCGCCCGATGTTAGGTGAGAAGGATCGCTAGAACGACCTCATTCCAATGACCCGAAGTTATTGCAATAGTATGTGCCGTCCCTTAACTACAAGAGACATTTTTTGCCTTAAGATAAAACATCCGAAAACATGCTATCCGGATTAATAAATGCATCATAAATAGTATCAAGTTTCTGTTCAAAACTAATACTTTCTTTTTGTTCATCTTTGTGTCTGTCTTTCTTTAAATTCTGTCAATTCTCTTCTCTAAATACAGGAATAAATTCCAAGTATAAAGTTAAATAAACAATTTGTTAACAAATAATTTATTAAATGGCAAAAGAGTCAGAAAGGGACCTCTATAGTGTAATAATTGCAGTTTGTCGCAATAAACTGTCAATTAATTTTTTAATGCAGATATGCTTTTGTGGAATTTCTCCTCGATCTAACTGTAAGACGCTCCATCTGGATGTAATGGAGATGAAGTAATCGAATACGCGAAAGAGGATGCGGAGGATAGTATTGGCTAGTTACCACGCGCCATGACCTGGAATTATCGAATAATTCCCGCATTACGTGATCATAATCAACCAGCTTAACGAACCAAGAAGAATAGCCCGGAAATAAGTCGCGCGAAAAATATCACGATCGCAATGGCACGAGTTTATATTCTTTTAGAAATTCTGTCGTCCGAACTGTTGAATTGCAAAAGGGATTCGTGAAGATAAAATAAACTTTAATGTAAAATTGAAGAGAAGCGTTTAAAACTTTGTGCGATGCCAACAAAAAGATGAAGTACACACTTTGGAGTATTTATACTGAGAGCCATACAATAGCCATTTACAACTCGCGATTACGCATTCTTTTACGAACGCCCGACTTCCCCGTAGACGGATTTAATATTTGCAGACTCACAGCGGAACCATTTCCCGCGTAAATATGTACCCGACATGTACAAGTAAAATATGTATCTGCAGCTTCTGTGGCGATAAGAACGCTTTTAAAGAAGCTTCTGGAACCTTCGTGCATAAAGCTCGAAAATATTCTTTGAATCATTTAATAACGACCTCGTGTAGTAAATATAGCGTCAGTAGTAAAGGAGGAAATTTAGGCATCGCATTTAAGCTCGCCTTACATTGCAATTGACGAGAATAAAACGACAATTACTCATCGTGCTAATTTTATACTAAGCGTTTCGTGAATAGCGGCGTTCGACAAGTGTCATAAGTCACCTAAAATTAGACGAGATTTGTCCTGAACTAATTTGACCAAGCGCCGCTGAGACAATAATGTTTTCCATATGGCCATTCCATTCAAACGCAATTGGACGTATTTTCGCAACGTGAGCGGCGCATTTCGAAGCGCTGCCTTGAAAATGAGGTCGCGTCGGCAACAACGCGGAATTATAATCCATTTTAATGGGAAGAAAGCTCCTGTTAACGCTCCTGAGATATACGGCCTCGTAATGCATAATGGGTCAGCTCGATGAATGCGTCTGTCTTCGGATTTCCATCGGGCTACGCAATATTACGATCGATACCACGCGGAATGTATGCGCCATTGCAAATTGGATGAGCACGTTCGCCGCTTGATAGCCCTGATAAACGTGAATAAACAATGTAACTAGATTAAGATAATATGTAAGAGAAAGAAAGAGAGAGAGAGAGAGAGAGAGAGAGAGAGAGAGAGAGAGAGAGAGAAAGAGAGGAGCACAGATATCGCGAAAGTAAACTCGAAATATGAGTTGCGTAGTTGAAACAATTATCCGATTGTCATTGTAATATTTTAAACAATAATGATTAAATATACAGATTCGCACAAAGAATTCAGATAATTACAATCATAATGTCAGATTTTGATGGAATAATAAATTTTAATTAGTAAATGCTTAAAATTGAGCTGAAATACGTTTGTGGCTTTATATAATTTGATAATAAATTCGTATGTGTGTGGAAGGTAATATAAACCGTATTTTTCTAATTCTATTAAAATATAGTATTGCAAGTAATACAAACATCGATTACCGTCGACAGGGTCGAGCCAAACTTCTGCTTCTTTCCCTTCATGAAATACGAGCGCATCATGGTTCCTGACACTCTCACGAAAAATTCCAGTGTCATTCTCAACCGCGGCGAACCTCGTTCAAACGCTGCCACTGCTGACGATATCTTGGCGCTTTTACCATGCGCGCGAAAATGAAAATAAACAACGTTGGGAAAACCACCTGTTCCACTGCTGCGTTTTTTTTTCAAACTTTTTCGCTAAGCAATTTTCAATATTTCCCTGAGATGTGTAGTGCGTGAAATAAAATTCATATCATGAGTGGAACTTCCCGTAGATTGAGATTTTCAAAGTTGCAAAGTATTTGTGGTTGATAACAAATGTTAGTGATAAACTAGATGTTATCCTCAATGAGTAATCCTTCACGCACATCTGGTTTATATTTCGAAAGGGTAAACATGTAGGATACAGCACAAACTCTTGTCAGTTTCCCATTTTTGATACAGTGATCGTTTATTTAAAGTATCCGTTCAAGAATGAAAAGTTCGGGGAAAAACTTAACACTTCCGTAGATTTAACATGTCTGACCTGTCTGTCAAATATAAATGTAAAAATTTTCATGTGTATTTCTATATGTCAAATACGAGGTAGACGATCGTATTTCTTGCTCAAACAACATCGATCCGTTGAACGTTGGAAAGCTTCTGAAGTGTTTCTTCAATGTACAAGGACAAAGGGGGAGTTTTACGTCGTCTTTATAGGAAGCTCGATCGATTCGCCAAAGTGAG